TAGACCGTTGCAAGATTCCCATTCCAGGTTGCGGATGGAGTCTTCCAAGTTCTTGAGTTCCGCCTTGAGTTGGTTACCATTTGGAAAGCAGAACGGTTCTGGTTCAGTTAGTGGAGTGTTCGCTCCTTTTCTAGCTAGATCATTTGCTTTTTCATTGCCTTCTATCCCTTGGTGAGCAGGCACCCAGAGTAGGAGGACTTTGTTTTCTTTGCCTAATTTATTCAGCTTCTCTATGCATTCTTCGACCAATTTCGAATTGATTGATACTGAGTTGATCGCTTTTAAAGCTGCTTGACTATCAGATAAGATGGCTATTTCTTATTTCCGATAGTTCCTATCTAAGATAAGTTGTACGCATCTTTCGATAGCGTAGATTTCTGCCTGAGTAGAGATATAAAGCTTTTATGAAACTAAAAATGCTACAGACAGATTTGTTCTAGCCCCCTTGGTTTCTGAAATACATGGCGAATTTACAAATGCTGAATTTTCGACCACCTTTGTATCTTGGTTATGTTTCGGTTTTTGGCATGTTTTTGGTTTTTGGTTAACTTGCATAAGACACCCAAAGTTGGGTAGTGCCGGATTCCTACCGGCTAAAAAAACCTCCTCCAACTACCACTTTACACCGGAATCCGCTCTCGCATTGCTTCAGTGTAAAGGGTGTCTATATTAACCTTATTATCTCTATTATGCTCTTTGCCTCTCTTCTCTCTCTTTACAGTTTATGATACTTCAGACTATCCGATATATTAGCGTCCATTGTTCTTCTTCTTCAACTAAGTACCTATATCATAAATGTGGGTAAGTCGAAGTCCTTGCCGGCTTCCATACGGAATTGTTCTCTAAAGATCTGCAATCGTTCGCAGGCAAACAGTGTATGCTGAACATCATCAACCTGACCGCAGTAGGTGCATGATTGACTATCAACCCCTACAACGATTATACAAATATTTTCTAAAACACCCATGGCCAGACAATGCTTGACTCATGAAAGAATGAATCCACTTCTCCGAACGATCTGTTCAACCATAGTTGAATGTCGGGTATTAACCTGTATGTCCATCTGCCATATATTCCGCTATTCCATTTGTCCTGCCACTGTTGGAGAAGTTTTGTCCTCGCTAGATCCTTATCCATCCCATGGTATCTATCATATCGTTCCTGTTTGAGCAGTTCAATAGGTGTTATTTCAGATATAACCCCTGTGGCCTCTCCAGATACCGTTTTGTATGTGCTGCATACTGCATACTCTAATAGACATGATACGTTGTATTCTGTGTAGTGTTTGTGTAAGCTCGACGCATAGATAAATGAAACAAGTTTAGATTGGAAAGTGCCCATAAGTACAATGTAAACACTATTTGGCACTATTCTTGCAACGGTCGCGACCCAAAACTTTTGAAAATTTCGGAGCGGTTCGGCTTTTTCCGGAATTATATCGCCAAATATTGTTTATTCAAATTTATTATTATTTTCGTTTAATTTTATAAATAAAATACAGTGTGTTGCATACAAGAAACTTTATTTTATATAAGGACGCATGTATGAAATACCTATGAAACATTGGAAACCGAAGTTATGCCACGATCCACGATGGTTTTTGCAGTTCACAGTTCACAGCACAGCTTTTTAACTTTTTAATGCCATTTTTTCACAATTATCACCGGTTGGAGTAAATAAAACTTGAATTGAACTCACAAGATAGCAATAATAACTTTGAAAATGGACGCTATAAACACTTTTCGGAATTCTGACTTTGACAAGAGAAAATTATTTCTGTTTTTGTTTGCCGTTGTTCTTAGCGACCGCTATAGCAGCGCCAGATCACGTATAACGGTCGCGACCCAAAATTTTTACGGGCTTTCCAATCTAAACTTGTTGCATTTATCTATGGCTTGACGTATCAAGAATGACATATCATGTCAACTTTGGACATTTTCGCTTAAACAAAATCGGAGTTTAAATTTCAATCTAGAATGCCATGGCTGTGTTAAAAATACTAATTCTTAATCAAGGACATTTGGACAAATAGATTTGATCGTCTAAAGTTTTTCGTCTTTTTCAAATCGTATTTTTTAACCATATCTCAATTTTTTCAAAGGGAACAAGGATGACTCATTAGCATATCTGGAGAAGCATTTTTTTACGAGTAATTTAGTACCAGACGCTTGGTATTTCGAGTCAAATTGTCGTCATGAACCGCATATTACAATTTCAAATTCATTCATAATATGCGAAAATGTCAAAAGTTGACATATAATATGTTATTCTATTCAGAGGTCGTTTTCTATCGAATAAAGTAAAAAAATACCGAGAGTGTCATTTAAAAATCAAAAATTGTAGTCATTTCCGGTAAAACAGGAAGTGACCAAAAACAATAATTATTGAATACGTCAATCAATCCTAATTTATGTCATAGCAACATACTAAATCTCGTTTTTTATCTAGAAAATTAAAAATGTTATAGGAGTGAGCCACTTTTGAGACGCACCCGGTATAACTATTTAATGAGAATAAATATCATGTAAGTCAGCCACATCAATTTTTTAATACCTATTTCTTTCTTGGTTAAATAAACTATAGTGATGCAAACGCCTAAGTGAGTATACCCTACAATAGCTACGCCTTTGAGCCGAATAGATAGCTAAGTTTTTGCCGCGAAAAGGTGCGTGGGATTGCCACTAAACTATGATCGGCGATGGAAGATATATTTATTTGCAAATGTTATGGAGAAAAAGCATATTAAACGATTCGATACCAGCATGCAAGGTCGAATTTTAATTTCTTCGGTTAATGCGTTTAGTTACGGATATATTCAAATACACGGACATCATAAGGCAACCGAAGCCCAATGTAATGAAATATATGTTAGGAATAACCAAGACAGACCGTAAAAGAATAGAGTGGATACCACAAAAGACGCAGGTATTAGATGTCATCCACAGAGTCAAATCCCTCAAATGGCAATGGGCAGGATACCTGGCAAGAAGAACGGACAACAGATAGACTACAAAAATTAGAGCATGGTACCCACGAGGAATTAAGAGACCTAGAAGAAGACCGAGCCTGAGATGGGAAATTAAAAGCCCTAATAAAGTGGCTATGAGAATGTGCAATTAGTTTTTTGATTTTTTAAAAAGTAACGACAGGAAAAAATTAAACTTATTTTTAAAAAAATAGTTTTTTTTTTAAAAATCAGCAATCTGTAGCGTTTTTTTATAAACATTACCACTGCGAACGGCAGCTTTTCATCGGAGAGCAGTCGTGGGTAAGGTATTTCACTAGAGAGAAAACCAATCAATAACAATAAACAAAAAAATATAGATATTGGACGCCAGGCATGCACAGAGAAAGAAAACACAGTTGTATATTACTTAAAACTAATGACTATATTTCATGATGTTCTTTGCTGGTACATGACATTGTAGAATTCTAATAAATATACAGTGGTTATATGTCAAAAAAATGGTGTTAAGAGTTGTACTAAATATCTATGAAAGTAATACCACTACAAGACGTAATGTAATGAAACCTAAGATCTAAATCATATTTTAAATATTAAATCGACATGAATGTTCTTAACAATCTAACCACTAAACATAGTCTGTACGATATTACTTAAGATGTACGTTATTGTTTAAGACTGAAAATGTTTTAGATGTTAAATGTAAAACTAGAACTTAAATCTACATTTAGCTGTTCTTTATGTAATCCTGCTTCAAACTAACAGCGTGAGGTGGTCTCGCATCTCTGTACTCGGCCATCCAATACAACAAAAGGGGGCCAGAATGAGGACACCATGAATTGATACAGCCGTAACTAATGACTAGACTGAGAAATGGGAACGAAGACGAAGCAGCAAGGGGCTTACGGTGTATCCATACTGTGGCAATATGAGGACACTACCCGTACCTTGGAACACTACTAGGACCTTGGATAATGTCCGTAACGTGGACCATAACCTTGAACACAGTCCGTCCATAAGATAACGGTACAGGGGAACACTACCCGTACCTTGGACACAGTCTGTCCATAAGACCCTAAAAATACGAAACTCTTGTTTAAAACCAAACAAGGCCTAATAAACAAAATAAACCTACCTCGAAACACTTCCGAGGGCTCAATAATAAACAAAAGAACTGTCCTTTCTTCCATTTAACATTCTGGAGGACAACAGCAAAAGTACACCAACGTGTCAGCAAAATACAAATACGAGTTAAGGTGGGTCAATCCAAAACTCTGCCCTAAAAATATTCAATAATAATATCGAATCTATAAAAGATAATAACTCATCTTTACCTGTAGCTTCGAAATGGCAGCTGATTCAGATTTTGCAGCAAGATTTAAATTGCCATTTCTAAAAGCAGGATTTGCAACCGTGGCCAAAAACAAAGTGAGGTTAAAACGCAGAGAGGCGCCTTGACATATAACAAGGATCTTGACAGCGCGCGCCTCCACAGAATAGTGAAACGATAGCAGGGTTGGCGACTAGGGAACGTAAAAATTACGCCAAGTGTGCCAAATAAATTATCAGGCCTGAACGATACGGAATCCGATGACGATACGCCAGACATCATATATTATATATAAAAAAGACATGTAACGAACTAAAAACGTTACAAATCTTTGAAATTTTTAAAACTTTTTTGATGGTATCTTGGTGAACATCCCAAAGAGCAACTTTGCCCCAATTTAACCATCTTCGTATCTATTACGGTTTCCGAGATAGCAATGCTCGTACCTCGAATTTGTAGCACCCTGTATAGAGTTGTATAGTTCTAAAACTGATTTCTAGATACTTATAAGTTAGTTAAGAGTAATACTGAGTGACGACATCTATATATCTATCTATTTATCTATTCTTCGGCCCATCGTTGCACATAATAGGCATCTTTCAATCTCTTCCACTCTTCTCGAAAAGATGATGATATACTCTATATGTCATATTAGGGGGGGGGGGGGGGTTTAAAACTAACCTACTAAGTAAAATCAAAACTAACCTTGCAAAGAATGTTCCAGGCTTTGCCGTAGTAAAGTATTTGACATCTGCTATTCTGATTAGGTTTTGTGCTTGTAACATTGATCCCGTTATTGATCTGAAAAAAAAACATAAAACAATATATTATACATCTAGTAACTTTAATGCAAATAATCTGGCAACAAAGGTTGTAAATTAATTTTAAAGGATCTAATATTCAAATATAGTAATTATTATTTTTTGCATACAATTTAGCCCCAGTGAGCATTATATTCCTTTAAGGGAAATGTGTTCTAGGTGACGTCGTTGTTACGTTACTAGGCCCATCTTTTGCCTGATATGAAGCAATAAAACGCAGATACGTAACTGTTCCCTAATGTTCCCTAAATGTGACAAAACTTTGCTCACTGGAAGGCATCTTTTTAAATTTTCAAGGTCAAATAATTTGGTTACTTTGGATTTATTTGAAAAACGGTAAAGAGAAAATGTTTTTTTTATCGATATCTATACCAGCCCTGGGAATATTTGCACTTATTTCAGATTCACTCTGTATATTATACAGGGTGATCCGAATTGTATTCGGGAAACTTCGGCAGCATGTTCTGCAGATAAAAATAAAAAAAAAGTCCGCACAAATGTATGTTCTAAAATGCTTCGTGCCGGAGATCAAAAAACATCTAGATACCAATTTTCATACAAATATCGACGAGTTAGTTCAACGAAAGAGTTAGGTCGAAAATTATTTAGAAAAAATCGAAATAAAAATGGAACTTCTACACCCTGTACCTCCGAAACGAGGCATTTTATGACATACTTATTACGGATTAGAACGTTTTTTATTAATTTTAACTTCTTTACGCGCTCTGGGAGTAAAACTTCAAAGCCGTGACACACGAGCTAGTGTTGGCTCGGGCCCTATGTAAGCTAGGGAGCTGAAACTCGGAATCTTTTCCTGATATTTTAGCTAGCAGAATTTCGTGCTCTATTAAACCTGTGATTAAACTATGAAGCCCCATCAATGGCGAAAAAATCGTCCGATTTAAAGGAAATTTCGTATATCGATAGATTATAGCCAACTTGACCGTATATGACACGTGTCACTATGACAGTTAGTTTTGACGTAAGAAACGTCAAAAGTTTGGTGGGTAGGCTACGTGAGAGACTGTGCACACGGTCCCATGCACCATGCATCCTCATCAGGGTAGGACAAAGGATTTGATATTGAAGAAAAATCTGGGTCGATTTTGGGCATAATTGGGGAGGGCCTACAGGATGACACCCGCGACGTTTTGAACCGATGCCTCTCAATGAAAATCATCAGGATTTTTTTTAATTATGGGTCGAATGGAACCAAACTCGGCACGTGGATAGAGGTACCCGAATGGAGTCCTCAGATAGACAGACGTACAGACAAACAGGCGGACAGACGGATTTACACTTTTTACATTTTTTCAAAAATGTCCTTCAAATCCTTCAATTTAATATCTTTTAGTAACTGTTTCACTTCAAACATTCGCACAAAGTGTACATACAATTTTTTTTAATTCATTAATAAAATAATAATAGCTTACATGAAAACTTATGGTATAATATTAAAAAAAACCTTGAGTGAAAAAAATTAAAAAAATACATTGAAAATCAAAGTGTTACATTACAAATCGCCGTAACGGAAAATCATTAAACCGAATCGCATAGTCGATTTTTAATTTCGAGCCAAATATGGAACCCGATCGATATAAAATATGAAACGAAACATATAGAGCGCGCAAAAAACCGCGGCAGTAAACAATAACTGAGATTTAATGGGCTTTCGATAGAACGAAAAAATTAGCAGCAGAGCAGTCAAACCGAAACCGTTTTATGGTTTTTGCCCCGAATAGCGAACGTCAGTTTACAGAACTATGGCCATACTGGGCATGATTAATGGGTTTTTACTATGATATATTGATCTTAGACAGCACAAATCACGGGGCGGATTTTTTTGCAGGCAAAAACTTGACAGCTTAATGCTTATTTGTTTGGCCCACACAAGTAAGACCGGGCTAAGTTATCCTGTAGTAAAAAATACAGCAAAAAGATACTCTGTTCACTCTATTTTTAAGCGTATATAGACTTAGAAGTTTTTTTATATGTTTAGTGTTTATAGTTCAACTATTGTAATCATTATTATTATTAGGCGCGCTGGGGGGTAAAAATTCAAGGTCGTGACACGACACGCTAGACGATACGCGACACAACAGGCGAGCGGAAAAGTGGCAAGGATAGCCTACTATAACTACATAATTAAGAAAAATCCTGATGATTTCGTTCATTTAGAGGTATCAGTTTGAAACGTCGCGGGTCGAGGGGACCGAAATCGACTCATATTTTTCTTCAATATCAAATCCTTAGTCCCACCCTGATAAAGATGTAAACGAAACGTCGTATCCCACTTTGCAGGGTGTGACCGTGTGCACCGTCGCTCACATAGCCTATCCACCAAACTTGGTCGCGATCGGACGACATCAACTTTTGACGTTTCTTACGTCAAAACTAACTGTCACAGTGACACGTGTCGTACAGGGTCGAGTTGGCCTCGGTCCAATCTATCGACATACCAAATTTCATTTAAAACGGACGATTTTTTGATTTTATTCATTGATCATGGGGTTTCGTAGTGTAGTACGGTCTGTAGTACGGTCTCCTCAAATTAAGGACCATATAAGCATACCCTTTTTTACATTCATTGATCCGTGAGCACTTGTATTTCAAATTATTGTAAAATAGCCACCGTCAATGAAAGACAAGCCGAGATTAAAATATGTCGGTGACCGATGTGGTAAAACGACACGCTGCGTAGAAATGTTAATATTATCGATATTGAACAAAGTTACAAAGATTTTGCCATTTAGGATAAGACTTTAACTGAAAATGAGTCGTTTTAATTAACTGGAAATCCGATATAAATAGAAAATTGATTAAAACCAAAAAATCCGATTAAAATTTAAAAAAAAGATTTTTTTTTACTTTTTTTAAATCATGACTTTTTGCACCCTGCCCTGCACATAATATTGTTACTGGTGGCTATATATTTTATTGTCTTACCTTGTCATTACTTTTCTCGCCTGTTTTTTCTCGACATACTCGATGGCTTGTGCTTTAACTGCGTTGGCGTGCTGAAACAAAAAAAAACAATTAAAATTTCTGAACAAATAATGTAGCAACAACATGAATAGTTATGTATTTGATAAAATACGTTCAAAAGAGTTAGTACACAGTGCTTCAAAGCAAGATTAAAAAACGGTTAAATAAGTAACTGGAATAATAATTCTTTTGTCTTATTTTTTCATAGCATATGCTTAGAGATTACTCATGCTTCCTGTCTTTGATAATTCTTTAACCAAATAATAATGCCCGCTATATAAGATAGCATAAAACTATTTGTTTGAATTCACGCAGTGCGGCGGCATACAATGTTTATTTTTAACATAATGAACTTCCTGTGATATGAAAAGTTCATTAAGTTCATTTACAGTAGTTACTTATTCTTAACTATTTTAATTCTATTACAGTTTATAATGTATTGTCTTTTGTTTGTCCACTAATGTCATTTGAAGACGTCTGATACAACACCAATCTGTTACATAATGTCTAGAAATTTATTCAGTGAAGATTTTTACATTTAACAAAAAATGAATAGATACATTTTTATCTCTCAGCACATCTTTATCCACACATACCATAACTAAACCAAAGTTCTAGATGTTGAAAATAAATAAATAGGTAAACGAAAAACATCTAATAAGTCAGCTGATCATGGCGTCTTGCAGGATTAATGATTCTCGGTTCAAGCAGTCATTGTAAACAATGAATTTTTTGAAACATTGTATAACATTGTATAACACATTTATAATACTGATGCCGAGTATTTATCACAAGATTTTTGTTCGTGTTATTTTTTTAATAAAAAGTTTATTTAATTACATCGCTCTCCAAAAATTGCCGCAGAAATAAAGCTTCATTCAGAACCTCCCAATTAGTGGAATAAATTAGTGGTTTCAATTACATTTTATACTTTTTAGTTTACGATCATTCACAATGTCTAAAAAATCACAATTAAAATTAATAAAATATCCTAGCAACAGCTTGTGGTAGTCTGTTGTACAGGGTGGCGCCTCTCATACGCCGCGGAGGCTCCAAGGAGAACGACAGTTTGTATTGAAATGAAATTTTGTGAGCATATGTATACTCTGTTTTTTTCTCGGGTAAGATTTCGACAGACCATGACAGAAGAAAAGCAGATGACGTCCCATACCAATCTATTTATTTTACTAAAAAAAGTTTCTAATAATTTATAAGTTAACTATGGATGGGTTTAAATATAAATTCGTCATGCGTCGTCACTTGTTGTTTTTAACCAGTTTTATTGGTTTATTTTAAAAATGACAGATCGTATTTCAATTTTATTGGTTTAACGGAACGATGAACGACAAACGGACGCCGATGCGTATAAAATCGCCTTTAGATTTTTGCCGCTTGTCAAAGTCTTGTCAAATTATAGGTTATAATTTTGTGTCAACTTTTGTCAAATACCCTGCGTTTTGGAAGATGATGCATTTTGATTCGTGTTATTACGTGTGTTTTGTGTCTTTTGAAGTCAAGTGGAGGAAAATCGAGTGAAAATTAACTGTAGACCCAGAGCACAGTTTATGGTTAATACTCGCTGCCCAGGCAGAAAGTCTTTACAAATACACCAATAAAGTTACTATCAATAAAGTTCGTATACCATCTCGTCGTAGATAAGTGCATCTCGAATATGGTAGAAAGACCATACTAAACACATACTAAAAACTGGAGTAGCTGTAAAATATCGACATCACACGATAGGTAAATAATGGATTTTAGTACTGCAGAAAAATACTGTCAAAAGGTACTGGTTTAAAAAAAATTAAGATTAAAGTAAATTAATCAACCTGTGAGGTATAAAATTTGGTAAGTGTTATTATTAATAAAATAGTTTGTTTTATTTATGTTGTTTTATTTATACCTGCGGAATATTACAAATTTGTATATATACATAAGTTATATTGATAAATATAATCATAAATGCGGGAAGTTTCATAAAGCTTGAAAGTAAGAAATAGTTCTTTTTTATATTTTTTGGTATACAGACAGTGGTGTCTTGGTATACAGACAGTGGTGTCTTGTTTTTGTTTGTTTTGTATTAACACATACCGTTTTTTATTAAATAAAATAACTAGATTACATTTTTTCAGTTTTATACAGTTTTTTTCACAATAATTTGAAGTTAGTTGTCAGTCAAATTTTAAATACATATATTAATTTCCTGCTATGCGTTCCAGCTGTACCAACTTATTTCTTTGTAAAATAAAATAAACTACTTTGAAATTAAAATGACAGACACATCTATCACTGTCAAGGATCTTCTCGTTGGACAGACTATAGGTTAATTCAGAGCACTTTATAAAAATATAGAGAGTTCTACAGGGTGTCCCCAAAAAAGTTACATATCAAAGTTGTGTTTTTTGTAATGGAACACCCTATGAGGGGTGAAAATAAAGGTGAGTTTTATAAGAGAAGTATATAACTAAAATGTAAGGTTTTTGACATATTTAACATTTTCTAGAAATAAAGAACAATTTTAAAATTACAATAAAAGCTACCTAAATTGGAATTTACCCGGTATAGTCTAATATGTAATTAAAATAACCATTGTACTTTAAATCAAATTAAAACTTAATCCAAAAAGTTATACAGGGTGAGACAAAATTAATATTGAACATTGGCCACCTTTAAAAGCATATTACTCTTTTATTTTAAGTGGAACACTCAGTATATTATTCCGATATTCAAAGGAGAATTCATGTCTCTTCAAAATACTATTAAGGTTGCCTACCCCTCAAACAAATATTTTCCTAGATATTTTCATTTACATGATTTGATCTGAGTAAGTCCTTATTATTTGATAAAATCTAGGTGGCTGTGATATGTCTCACGTTGCTTCAACATAGCTGTCTAATTAGTCCAACTTTAACAACTAGTTATCATTTTGTGTCAGTTAAAACAAAAAAAAATCTCAGAAATTTGCCGAAAATGCAAACTTATCCTACATCAGAAAGAAATGATATGATTCCATTAGTTGGTGAATGCAGTGTGCATTCACCAATTAATAGAATACTTAAATGTTCCAGATTTTATCTAGTCTCTTTTTTATGGGGATATGTTAAAGACAGTGTTTAGAAAACTCGACCAATTATTGTCGACAACATGAGAGAAATTATTGTAGCTGCTTTTCGAGGTAGAATTCCACATACGCTTTTTAAAATGAAAAGATCCTCTTGAAAAGACAATCGTTTTATGCAGTTAACAGGAAAGGAAGCCATTTTGAGTATCTCATTTCATTTTAGCTAATTTTTGTCACATAATTATAGTTTCATATCTAGTTTTAATTCTGTAATAATTAAAATATGTTTTAAACGTGTATCTTTTTATTACCGTTGAGTATTTTACACCACAATCGTTAATTTTTCTTAAATTAACAAAAGGTATATCACACAGCCAGCCCCCTAGATTTTTTCAAATAATAAAGATCCACTGACGCAAAATCATAAAAATTAAAATATCTAGGACCATCTTTGTCTGAGGGGTAGGCAACCTTAATAATATTTTGAAGATATATAAATTCTCCATTGAACGCCGGAAAAATATACTGGGTGTTCCATTTAAAATAAAGGAGTAACTTGCTTTTAAAAGTGATTAATGTTCCATATTAATTTTGTCTCACCCTGTATAACTTTTCGGGTCAAATTTCAATTTGGTTTAACATGCAATGTTTATTGTAATTAAATATCAGGCTATACATAGTCAACTAAAATTTAGGTAGCTGTTATCGAAATTTAAAATTTACTTTTCGTTTTCACAAAATGTGAAATATCTCAAAATTCTTAGATTTTAGGTATATGCTTCTTTAATAAAACTCACCTTTATTTTTTCCTAGAACCAGAAAATCAATTAATATATAGGGTGTTCCATTAGAAAAACCACAATTTTGATGTATATGTAATATGTAATTATGTACTTTTTTTGGGGACACCCTGTATAACTCTATATATTTTTATAAAATGCTTTCAGTTAACCTACATATGCTGCCAAAATTTTATTTCGATATAAACTACCGTTCTCCTTGGAGCTTCCGCGGCGTATGAGAGGCGCCATGCTGTATCTATAGAGAAAGCATAATATTTACCTTATAAAACAATAAACTTTTGATTTCTAACCAAAATTTTTCTTGACGGGTGATAATCAAAGGCCAAAATGACATTCCTCGCAAATTTTGAAGTATAATCAGTGGAAAAGTCAAAAGTTTGTTAACTTTTTCCGATAATTGAAAATTACTACAACTAATTATGACGTAATGATGAATGATTACATTAAAATTAGGTGAACAAACTTCTACGGCTAATTGAAACTACTAATTTATTCCACTGATTTCGAGGTCCTGAATGAAGCTTAAGTTTTTAATCCTAATTTTATAAAATAGGTAAAATACACGAAATTTGGTAATTTTTAACAAGATCTGGAATTTTTGGTAAAGTTGAAGGAATGTGAAGATTTTTTAAGGCTCTGTTGAAGGAATTCGCTCGAAAATGCCTGTCAACACTGCTTTATTGTATCTAGATTCTCCATTGCTCTGAGTTTATGCTGTTTCACAACCCCATTCAACTCGCGGCGTGTTGAAACGATCTCGGTTAGCCATCTCGGAGGTCCGTTCTCTCCGATTTTGTAATTGATTCTGTTAAATAAACATGTGTTTTATTTGTAATTGCATTTGCATTTTGTTCTTTTGCCGTTGTCCGAGTCATTATCGGAATCCGTTTTGCGTAGCTCATTAATCGACTATTTTTACTGCCATTTCTATCCTTATGCCCACGCCTCGCGTTTTCATTAGTAGGCTATGGCGCTAGTTAATGGTATCTTTTTGTAATTCAAATCGGTGACCTGTAAATACCTGTCAACACGCAATGAGATATTTTATCTTTGATCGTCTATTAGCTGTGGCTGTTATAAGACTCTAACGAAATATCGTTTAGTTTAGATTTGTTTTTAAATGATCTGAAAATCTGAATCACCCATAATAATTACTAGCAGTTGTAAC